ACTCTTGGTGTTGCGCTGTCCTAAAAAAAGGTTTTACAACGGAAGAAGGGTTATTTAAGGGATCTGTCACTACATAGTTAAATGTGTCTAGTTGAAAAGCGTCTCGGTTTGATGTTACATCTTCCGTGGGCACCTCACACTGGAGAACTATTCCATGGAAAAGATAAAAGATGAAGTTATGAAGCGTTAATCAATCACACGTGAGGGATGCGACCCGCATTCGACTTCGCTCGTAATCGTAGTGGTTCATTGAATGCGTATGTGGCCTATACAATAATTTGCGCAGGCCAACCTACGTTCAAATCAGTGTTTTTACTCTCCCAGACGAGTCTAGTACCAATTGACCGCCCCGGGGGAATGGGAGGCTTGGTTGGCCCAAGCAGATATTCATCCGAGATTCAAACCCGTGACCATGCGTGCGTGAAGTGCGCCACTTGCTACTACACTACATCCGCCAAAAAATTATTCCATGTAACTCAAATGTCGTTTGAGCCAAACCGATCTCCTCGTTGCCCAGTGATTCACTTAGCAGCTAACACTCAAAATTCACACTTATGATTTGAAGCTCGGGGATCCCAGAAAGACTTGTTTACCAAATTATTATCGGGAAGTAAATGAAAAAATAACAAAAATGGACGAGAGTAAAAACTCTGACAGATCTTACCGTGAGTACTATATCACGACAACCGCTTACATAGGGACCAGTGTCCTCGGAGCTTCGGCAGGCTCTTTCCAACTCACTTATATGTGCAACTCCAAAACGGGAAGCACGAGCTTTTTCACAAATCTGTAGAGGAAATTTGATGATTTGGCTTCACTCACTTCAATTCTCAAAGTTCATACCTCTACCACCTCATTTTTGATACGGGGAACATGGATATCGGGAAGTATGAAGTCTTTGACAACAGGAAACTGAAGTGACCAGTAAGTTGACAGCATACCACAAAATCTTCAAGTAACTTACTTTCCCATAACGGTATCGATGACCACGATAAGGAACTTGATACATGTTTTGTGGATTGAATGCAGTTTGGCAGTTTTCGCACTCTGCATACTCTGCAGATTCGTCGAACTATAAATGATGAATAAAAATTGATCATAATTACTAGTGGACATTATTAGAGCAGGGGTTATTTTGGGTACGGAACACCGTGAATGGGCTATTAGGCTTGACTATAATTATGCCTTCCAAAGCAGCAAAAGGATGAAGGACAAAGTCTTTAGGCGTTCATCGATCACGTCCGAGAGGTGCGTCCCGCATTCGACTTCCATTCAGAGTCGTAATAGCGTCTTGGATGCGCATGTGGCCTGTACAATGACTTGCGTTGGCCGGCCAATGTTCGAGTGCTTTTATGTTCCAGGACGAGTCTCTCTCTCTTCCCCCCCCCNCCCCCCCCCACCGATGGAAGACTTGGATGGATGTCAATCCTGGATTTGAACCTGTAAGCATGCATGCGCTCGTGATAGTACGACACTAGCCACGAAACCGCCTCTGCCCTCACCTCAACAAAGCCTTCAAAAAACTTACCACAATTGGAGGTCCAAAACAAGTGCATACGATTTCCCTTAGACGACGAGATCGGTTGTCGTCGCTGAGCTCTGGAATGAAATATTCATATGTATTGCTGGAAATAACTTTTTCTGACCGAAGGAAGTAATGGGTTCAAGTTTATAAAAATGCAAATTGAAATAGAACACAATGAATTAGAGAAATTGAAATCAAGTTCTCTTATACTTCCCGAATGCAAGTTTTTTTACAATCCAAGTGATTCTCCTAGCACTCACTTCGACATTTCCATCGAGTCCTCCATTCAGCTGCCGTTTCGCAGATCATAGGCCAGTGGGGTTCCTTCTTGCATTCCGTGCACCACACGATCCCACATTCACACTCGGCGCAGTTGTACTCTGAATAAACAAAAATCATTTACTATAAACATAAGTGACTCATTAATAAACATTAAATACCATTCGGTCTGAAGATTTCGACAGCTTGTTTACACCCAGGACATTCATCGAGCACAATATTACCCATAGACTGTTTGATGAGCTCTATGGCAGCATACTGTAAAAAACGACTTAAGATGACTAACTTTACGGTACCATTTACCCAAACAGACCTTTGTATAGAAGTTGAATAACGGCAGAGGAAGAATAGAAGGCAAAACATCATAGCACGTTGTATTAGAAGGGACAATGAACTGAAAAAGAAGGCAAAAATATGCTTAATTGAAAAGTCAATATAAACAATTGGGTACATCGGCACACAGGTGATTGCCTGGTTGTCTTCCCACCCCTAATGGGGAAATGAGGGACAGGGGGCTCGATTCAATGATATCAATAGTATTTATAAAGAAGCTGCTAAGCTAAAACATACGAACAACGCGTTGCCCTTCGAACCTGCACCTATGCTTTCTGGGCAAAATACCTAGCCGCTACACTGCGGAACAAAGTTATATCTGACGGATAATAAGGTTAAATCGGCTAAGTATGGTAGAATGATGAGTTGGGAGCAGGACATTTGGCCTCAAGCCTTCACCCCTTTTACCTGTGTGCCCCATATGTCCATCTGTACACTACCGAGGCCCCTCTCCAGCATTCAAGGAAATAAGGATCGAAGCATCTTACCGGGAGGTTTACTGGCACACATCCAGCACGAATTTGACAGACAGCCAGCTGTCTTACACACTGCCTGCACATCCAACAATCGTCCATCTCGTACAGGTAATTGATGCGGTGGTTGCCACAATCACAACATTTCTGCAAGCATTTTATACTCCTTACACCATGAAGACCCGAAGTGACCAAAGGTAGACCTACCACTCCCAATGGGATGGAAGGTAGTGTATCGAAGGTTGAGCAGCTACTCGGAAAGTTAGTTCCACCTCGGGGGTCGCCGTTCACTTCTTCCATGCTGAGATTTTCAAACGAGTCAGCATCCACCTGTTCCCGTAACATGTTCTCCATATGTAGATGACTGATTCGATGAGTCTGAAGATTGGGGATGATTTCTATTTCCTCTGATATCAGATGTTCGTAACGATACTAACGGTTTTCTACTCCTATGTCAAATGTTGAATTCCGCTCAGTCCAACCAATATAGGGCAAGGTTCACGATAAATTCGGGATCTTTCGTTAAAGTCGTATAATTGAAGTGATTGTTCACAATGGTGCGAAGAAGGGGAAGAAAACGCGAAAATCGTCTAATCGAGAGAAATATAAGGCTTCAAAAAAACAGGGCTTGGAATAGAAGTTGCATGGAAGGGGTACTCGGACGAGCTGTCCAAAGGTGTGTGCCATTGCGCACAGCTTACGGCTAAATGCGGCAAGCGTGCAACGTGTGCGTCTCGGCGTGAATGCTTCAACCTCTACAGCCTCTGCCTACAACGCCGTGAGAACTCGTCCGCCTTACCTGTGCACGTCTTCTGTGTCGGCTTCGGGTCTCTTATTAAGCTCTATCTAGGCCGTTCCTCGACAGCGTCGCTTGTGCTATCCCTCAGGGGTCACCGTTCAATCCTATGGAGAAGTCATGGGAACCACCTCTATCGTGAACTATTCCTTTTAATAAATTGATCCAAAAATACCGAAGGTTATCTATGAATTAATTTCTACTACAATCAATGTCATCATTAATACCGGCGATCGTGTAAGTAATCTTGCAACTATGTACTACCTTATTGAAGCACAGAGGGGAGCGAGTACCCAGAGAAACGTCCTTACATCGTGCCTTACATGCCTGCCTGATTATTTTAGGAATTTTACTTGAAAGTGACAAGAAAAAGAACAAACCTGGCCGATAAATTGTTTGGGATTGAACATTGGAAGGTGCTCGTTACTGTGTGCCACTTGCAGCGTATCGTCCAGCCGCTCTTCGAAGCTGGAAGTTTCAGTACCATATCATTCACCAGTGACCCTTGAAATCCATATGGACGCTTACTACTCTCTGTGTATCTGTGGAAAACGGACAATTCCCTCAACGGCACTATCAATATCAGACCAGTTACCCTTGGTCAAATATTTAAACGTCAGCCAATCCAAGTTTTTCTTTGGTGACATAGAAGAGTTGAGATGAATCCTACAATATAGCCTTTTAGTCTTGGAACCATTTTTCTTATTCCCAGTCTCTCAAGATCGCTGATGTTGGCAGGTCTTACTTCAAGAAGGGTCCCAGTTTGTTGTTTTTGAAACATCTCTCGATTATCACAAAGACAGTCGGTTCTCCATCGTAGCTGCCGGATTTATCGACAGCGTTTGTAGCATCGATTGCAACTCTCTGGTGGTTCCTGTCCAACCAACGTACCTTATATCGCTTCCTTTTCAGGTTCTCCACCTACAAAAGACATCAACGGAGACTAATCACTGGCCGTGAAAATGAGGAATGGTTGCAAACCTGCTCAATAAAATTGAAATCTTTCCAACTGGTCGTGTCAATATAAAGGAACTCAAAGAACCCTTTCGGAACAGAAGTAATATCTACGAGATCGAACGGCTTCAGCTTATCACTCTCAGGAAGATCCTAAAACGGTGCAGATAGAAATATCGAGTACCGTTACCATGCTTATGCCAATGGTTTTTGGAAAAAGGGTTTTTGGGTTGTTACGGTAATAGAAAACATACTATCATCTCAAAGCTCTGTGAGAATTTCGAGTCCTTCACTCCTCTCCGACGTCTCACTGCTGTTTTCGTCACGAAATCACCAAGATTCAACCTGAACCAGTAGAGGTCATGACCATATCGAACAGGAGCCGATCGTATCCAATTTCACAAGGTGGGCAGAAATTACAGAACTCATACCCTTTCTCTCTCTTCGGTTCATGATCGTCACCATCAATCTGCTCATTTTCCTCGACTTCACTGATTGTGAGCTCAGAGTCGCTTAAGCAAAGGCGCCTGGCACGACTAGTTTTCCATAAAGTACGATCGGCCTCTGAAATGGGGTGAAGAATACATTGCTCTAGACTGTACTATCATAGGCCAAGGTGAAGATAATGTGGCAAAGGGGGGTGGGGGTAGAAGCAGATCAAATTAGCCACGTAAATCCTCTGCAGGATGCGCCCTTACTTCAACTTCCCGAAAATTCGTACGCGCGTTTTAGTGCTCAGCCTTCCTTGTTAGCTAAAAGTTGGGCGTCCTTCAGATTATATTTTCCTCCAACAAATCTGATGCTTTTTCACTACCACCGACTCTTCGAACTCCTGGGCCTATTGTACCTTAACTGGTCAGGGAAGAAGTAAAAACACATAAAACCGTAAAGAACGAACTTCCTCGAACATGTCGACCGTAGTAGCCTGGTTTTTCGTGCATGATCAAATACCGTATTTGGGCTTTTCCAGAGGTGACTTCTTCAGCTTCGCTTTTTTCGTCCTCCTTCGAGACATTGCAGCGCTTATTGCGATGACTTTGTCGATGCTTTTGACGTTGAGGGTATGTAAGGGACGAAAGCTGAATTGGCATGGGCTCAGTTACACCAATTGTAAGAGCTTTCCTACGAGACCCATACATCCCACTTCACAAAAAAATGAGATTGGGTAGAAGATTTGGGTAGAAGTTGATCACAGATTAACATAAATCAGACCATAGCAACAATAGGAAAATGGTTGGTACACTCACACTTGCGCCTTGTCCTCCTGCAGTTTTCGAGACCATCTCACCATCGCCGTCGAGTTCGTAAACTCCAAAAACAGCTCTGTCTTTGAAGTAATTCTCTGAAAGGCAATATGAATCGACTCGGATAGGACATTTTCTTCCTTTTCTTTCACTTATCATCAAACCATGATTGATATTACGGTTACAAAATGAATAACGGTACGGAAATGCTTTCCGCAACAGAATAGTATACCTGGAAAGGGTGTCTTCGCCTCGACAACTTGAGCCGAAACCTCGTCACTGTCGACACCATTTAGAAGGTTCGCAGGATTAGCCTGTAAAGATATCAGCTATGTCCGTTTAACTCAGTGAAAGAATAGAAGAATCCACCTCCTTCCATCGGTTTCTCTTCTCCAAAGAATACATCACATCAGGCACGAAAGTGTCTGCACAAAGTACAGGGATTTTGGAAAGCAAACGATCTTTACCTCTCTAAATTAGCGTTTTTCCAATGAAACTGAGAAATCTGTGAGAAATGGGAAGTACCTTGCTGAGAACATTGTTCGGATCCTCAACAGTTTTCATAATGCAGGAAAGTGCAGCTCCAGGAACCACTTTCGAGCCGAGCCTCTTCCTCTTGGACCGTTTACCTTCAGCACAGCCTGGTTTCGTCCACCATAGTGGGTGGACACTGCGACTGAAGCAAATTCTTTTAAAATAGGTCCTTCTTGAAGCCAAGCAATGAACAATTTTTGATGGCCATCTTTCCTCAAGACATTCCTGCACTAAAATTCTGGGCTGAGAAGGTCTGAGGTTCCAGCACATTAACAGTTTCTCCATGAAGTGATAGCTCATAAGCAGAGGTGTTCAATTCCTTAGGTAAGACAAAAGTTGAAAATCTTTCATTTCGATCTTTTCGCTATTTGAGCACATTCAATCACCCACATGATTTCTGAAAAACGCTTTTTGAATGAAGATGAGCAAAAGAGAATGGAAGTGCTGATGAGTTTTCTCACTTTACTATAGACCCTCATCAACTTTAAGTGGATGCACGTCCTAGGGAGGAACAACAGACACCTCGCACCGGAAAAGAAACCCGGAATTTCGAAAGATAGAAAAGTAACCTTGAAAAAAAACTGAGGAACACAGTTAGACTACACTAATTCGATTCTCATTGAATGTCCACAGCCTTTCTTCTTATTTATTAGCATTATAGAGGAGCTTCCCTCGAGAAAACCGAGATTTTTCAATATATTCAACAAAAGTAAAAAATAACGTTATCTTCTATTTTAAAATATAACAAAACAACCACACTTACTAGTAAGCGTCTCCATTTTCGCTGAAATGATCTGCAGAAGTTCTGCAATGTGCAGTAGAATCTACTTCCAAGCAGTCGGAAGAACCCATGTTGTTCTACAAATAGGTACTGAAGAAGGTTGACTGGCCGGGTTCGACCAGCGACTACTTTTATAACGGGGGCGAGTTGCACAACAGCCCGTCATNAAGTTCTGCAATGTGCAGTAGAATCTACTTCCAAGCAGTCGGAAGAACCCATGTTGTTCTACAAATGGGTACTGAAGTAGGTTGACTGGCTGGATTCGACCAGCGACAACTTTTATAACGGGGGCGAGTTGCACAACAGCCCGTCATCGTTGCGAAACGCCGGCATCACCCGTGCGTTCCCAGGTGGCTGTTCAGCTAGTTGCTTGGCAAAGAATGAGGCAAAAACGGTCGTGAAGCCTCTGGGCATTATGGCATCAGCTCTTCAGATCCTCTCGAAGACCTTAATCGATAGCTCGTCCGACTGGGAAATCAGCTGAGTTGCGCTGACGGAAACCTTATCGATTCTCTTTTTCGCTGAACTTTTCCGCGATGTATGACTCACTGCTTGCTAGCGTTGGTTCCCCGCTCGCCACGTGCTTCCAATGAGGGGAATAGGAAATACAGGTTTGCACCTCATATTCTACTTTTTCCACGAAAGATTTGTATTATATGGCTTGACGTTTCCTTTGAAACATAGTTGAGGCATGAAATGATTGGCCTTGTTCAGTTTCATGGGAATACGCCATGCATTTGATCACAAGTCGTCCTTGATAAAGGATTATGGATACATTCTGGAATGATACTAATATTTGCCAAGCTCGGACCAGTTTTGTCTTTCCAGACAAATCAGGATGATTATTCTACTTACCTCATGGGAGATTTCGGAATTCCTAAAATGGTTAAAAGAAATTTATGGAATTATACAGAATATGGTATCATTTTATAATGAGAGATATACCACTAGAGGAAGGTATGGTTTGGAATACAGTGAGCTGTCGAAGTATCGTATTCTGCATTCTGGAATACTTACTGGCCTGGGGAGATATCGGTCAGAGATTTGGTCTCACCATCAGTGTGTACTGGCAAGAGGTGCACTATCATACGCTCACGTTCAAGAGTTCAATCCCAGGTCGATATCCGCCTTGGCCAAGCTTTGCATCCTTTCGGGATTTCTCGATTGGTACTATATCCGTTTAGGAGCATAAAAGCACAGACTTACACATCGGCTGACCATCACAATTCATAGCAGAGGCACATACACATTCAAAACACCACTACTATCCTGAATGACAGCCGAATACGAGGCGCATTCCAAAAGGGGAGTAATCAGAGCCAGATTACTTCAGGACCTCATTTGCTTAATTATTTATTTAAGTATTTGTCCATGTTAAGGCATTAAAGTTCAGGGCATATGATGCTTTTAAGAGAATCAGTATCGCACTATGTCAAGTCCCAAGTTTCTGAATGTCTAGTAATCGGAAAGGATTGTGTTGAGTATGACATTTAAGATTCCTG